AAAGAAAGAAAGAAAGAAAGAAAGAAAGAAAGAAAGAAAGAAAGAAAGAAAGAAAGAAAGAAAGAAAGATGAAGAGGGAGAGTTGCAATTTGATAGCTTCTTATTTTTAAGCTTTTGGATTAAGTTTGAAAAATTAACCTATTTCCATGTGTAAAACTTGAATATGAAGTGTTCCGTCAAGTACAATAACTGAGTCAAAAAATGTAACATACCTTAAAACTGTCATGATTAGGGAGATGGGAATGTTCTCAGATTCAAATACTATTTTTAAACATCATATTTAGAAACAATGTTTAAAACAGCAGCCCCACTTTTATACAAGGGCCTACAATATTTTTGTTCTGTTGTAGCAGAGCCACGTTTGTTGGGCTCCATAAGAAAATAAGGGGGTGGAGGGAGGAATCAGCATTCAATTAAATTGTGAAAAGCCAGTTGAGAAAAATATTTTTAAGCTTTTAAAAAGGTGTTCTTTTAATAACCTTTAAAACTCGTTTTAAAAAATTATACAAGTGTACACTTGATTTACCACAGCCACTTCCATAACCCTGAAGAAGTTCAGTAGACACTAGCAATTGCATTTCTAGAATCAATTTGCAAACAGACAAGTAGAATCTACACAAAAATATGGATGCATTTTCAGCAGAGAAGATTAGTCTTAGAAAAATCACATATACTAGTAAGACTTGATCACCTATTTCCGCATCATGTTATGGTGAAAATGTACCCCCATAATTTATAATCTGAAGTGGAGGAAATTAAAAGAGAAAGACAATTCCTTAGGACCCTCTTTATAACATTTTGAGATGCTTCTAAATGGTTATATTATAAATGCTACTCTTAAATTGCCTATATGGTATGCTTATAAAGCTTTGGAAAACAAAGTACAGTAAATCAATGCACTACACAAACGCTTTCATGCTTTAATTGCGCTATTTGAAATATCCAATTTCCACATCATTTTGATAACTTACATGCCAAAAAGGAAAAAGGGTTTGAATGAAAAGATAAAACAGAAATACAAATTAACAAAAAAAATAAGAGTGGGTGGAAGCGCCTTACCAGTTTTGGGTGTCAAACTCAAATCTGTGTCAGAAGAAGAGGACTGTCGACTGTAGGACTTGGAAGGTGAAAAGGAATAGGTTTGGTTTTTCAGAGGGGTGGAGGGTCCTGATGAATGAGTATTGGGATTGGGATCTTCATTGAAAGGAATCCTGCCAGAAGAAGGTGGAAACATATTCAGTAATCCTGTGCCAAAGGACCTGGCTGACAGCAGCATGATCCGAACACCAGGATGGGGTTGGGGTAGGGCCAGCAGTTATTCCTTAAGTGTGTTGCTGGGGATGAGGCCAAAGGCAAAGAAATGATGTTTACCCACTCAGCATTCTACAGACAGATGCTGATTATCTGCACTGAAACAGTTAAGCCAAATAAAAGACATGAAATGTCAGACCAAGGGGGTAGGGGGGAACGTATATATGCGAAAGAAAACAAAACTCAAAATACATGGCTTTAAAAAAATACATGGCTTTAAAAAAAAAACTACACAATGCTTGTTGAGTTAGATTATTAAAGAAAAAATGATCTCAAACTATATTTGTGTTTATATATATAATATTTTATATATATATATATATATATATACACACACACACGTATATTTATGTATACACACACATTTTAAGAAAAAAATGTTTCCTTATCCTATAGCATCAGCAGTGTGCCCACAGCTAAAAACAAAGCAAAGAGAAAAACCTTAAGGAATACAACTGTATTGACAAACATGTCAGTTATGTGCAGATTTCCTTACCTGTTCTCCAGTACTGTCTTTTCCACAAAGCGACACAAACCCTTCCTAACGCTTTAAAAAATCAGGTAATATTTGGATTACACTTGAAAGCAATCTGAAGCCCAATCATGGTTTCCTATTATGACTAGTAAGAAAGACTTGTAAACTGTACCTGATGGATGTTACTAAACTCAGATGTATGATTTTTGGGGGGTTGTTTTTTTTTTAAAGGAAATGAAAGGTATAGCTCTGTGGAAGAGACTTTGAGGAAACACACACTCTTCCAAGTAACTATTGAGTTTGTTTCAGCAGCTGAACATAGCAGTAGTTCTCCACTGACAGCAGAAGGACTCCCAGTGAGAAAAAGAGGGAGAAAAGATGGGTGGTACCTGCCTACACTGCCTGCCTGCCTGCACTTTGCGACCACTGTGCCTGTGGCCTGCCTCTCCCCAGCTCTTGAGTCTGAGTAGTCTCGTACCAGTGTAGATGAGAGTGGGAACAGACAGAGAGAAGTTCTGGGTAAGTCGTGAGCCAGAAGCAGTGTGAATTGGGCTGTTGTGAGTCGAGCGGCATCCATGGCTTGGCGGATGAACCAGCGGAGACCTGAGAGAATTTGCAGCCAAGGTGGAAGAAAAGAAAACAATACATACAACAGATTGCAAAGTTATGTTAAAAATGATTTCAGGGAGTGCTAGTTAGCAGAGATCTCTTATTCTTTAAGCAGACTCTAAGAGTTATAATTCCTAGCATGCAAGAGTCAAGACGAAATCAAAAGGAGCAGGGGAACAGCTAAGTATTAACTTGTTAACATATTATTGAATCTTTGGCATTAAAGGCTAAGGTTAATAAAGATAATAGCAAGACGTGAGTAGAACCTGCTGGTCTTGAAACCCACTCACACTTCTGGGCAGGACCATACAGATTGGTTAAAACAACCTTATCAAAATCCAGCACGCAAGTTGCTAAACCACCTTGCACATACATGGGTTAAGATAATGTTTTTTGTCGTCTGTTCAAGATTGAATGCTATCGATTTATGGGTGATGTTTAAATTGCTAGCTACTGCAGCCAGTGTGTAGTTTTTAATTGTGTTTTTAATGCTGTTAATATGCTCAGAAGCTCTGTGATGATGGTTGTGTTTCACAAGTCAATACAAATTAAATTAATAATTCTAAATAAGACCAATAACCAGACTCCACTGCTGGGGAAGTTCTACAGTGGTATTGTTGCTGCCTCATACAAAGTGCTCTGATTGCATTATAATAATTACAAGACTATAATAATCTTAGTTATTGTATCATTAAAATAAAATGACCTAATTCAAACAATATATATCTGGACATGTTACATAGAAGTATACTTTTTTGTACTCTTCTTTTCGTCTAGTAATTGTGTAAAATATACACAAGATGCCATAACAAATAAATTGATGTATTCACAGTGGCAACTGAGAACTGTAAATGCTTCCGCCCTCAGAATAATATGACACTGGAATTTTCCTAATTTTATTTGATTTGTTCCTGTTAAAAATCTGAATTCAAACTGTGTTGTGTTGACTTAGCCAAAGTGAACAACTGGAATTAGGCCACACTCCTCATCGTGAAACCTTTTTCAGTCAGTGTACAATATAGCCTAATTTGTTTTGATTATAAAAAAAAACCAATGACTAAAATGATTAAAAGACTTCAAGGATGTCCTTGCATCTCCTGAGCCACTCAACTATCTGAACTCAAATATACTTATCTTTTCTTTCATGAATACACAGCAAAGGCACTCAAACAAAGTGCTAAAAATACAAATCCCTTAAGAAATGCATAGTATTGTGAAAGATCCCCATGAACAAAAAATATGTTATTTGCATGTGCAAACTATTTACCAGCTAGAGGTTGGCAGATCACAACACAGGAATGTGCAATGCTATGACTGCAAATGCAAGAGTTATAGAATTAATAGAAAAACATCTTTCTCGCCAAGATTTACTGCTGCAACATCTAATGTCCATCTTCTCAAAATTGCAGAACATAAACCAAGTTACAGACAAGAATAAACAGTAAAGGAGAAATAAACGCTGGGAAAACACACTGGATATGTAAAACTGAATGAATATGAAAAGAAATGAAATTCACTCCATTACAATCTACTAACTCATACTTACTCCTTCATTTCTTTAGATGGGGAATTACATGCAGGTAAGAATGCTGTGTTACTTATTTTATCCAAGGTACAGACTGTTCCTATGGCTCGTACTACTAGTCCAGATTCTCCCTCCAAATCAAAACACTGCAAGTAACCAACAACTGCATTCCCTCTCATTTCAAGTACCTTCAAGCCAATCTTCCTTTGAAGTTCACCTACAAAAAATAAATACAAGTTAACTGACATCTCACTTAGATATAGGGCAAACATGTTAAAGAGGATGTTTCTTATTCTCTTCTGTGGATCTGACCCTCTTCATATTTGTAATAATTTCAGGGTAGGAAAACTGGCTAATAGATAACATACCACATGATTATACCATAAACATGGCCACAAACTTCCTCTGCAAATTGAAGGCTCTTAATTCTGTGATCTTATTAGTAGTACATCTGAACTACTTACATGTAGAGCTTTCTAGAAAATGGCCAAGAGTAGGAATTGAAAAAAAGACTGTAAAATTCTCTGACATTTCTCTTTTTTCTTTTTTTTCCCCCAGCCGGGTCTAGTGCACTACTACTACAAAAAAGAAAAAAAGAAGAGGTCTGAAGAGGGTTATGTTTGTTTGTTTTTTTAAGTGTTCATTAGGTCCTTCATTTCTCTTTTGTGGGAAAGGATATGAGCAAGACATCACAACAGTTGAGTGTGCTGGAGTACACTGAAGTTTCTAGCTTCTCTGTAATACAGCAAATAATCCAGATATCACTATGAAATGCATAGAGGCCTCAAACTTCCTTGAAATTCAAACAAATAAATGGATGGATAGACATCCTTAATCTCCTTTTTTCGTTTGCAAACTTCCAAAACATATAAAAGCATAGATCAACCTAATGTCATGGTTTTCATTCCTTTTCAATTCCTACCTTAATGTATTTATACCATATACATAGATGCGACATCATGCAAAACATATTCTGACTATTTTTCTACTGTTCCTTTGGTATTAAATGAAAAATCTTTACTGTACACAAGTCAGGAAACGGAGCTGAGTTTGCTGTAGGAACCTGAATTTGGCCCTTTTGCAAGACTGCATTACAACAGTGTTTTTCAATTGACTACACTATGCTGAAAATTGACATAATTAGCAAATAGTATAGAACAATGGAACAAAATTGCACTTTTTTGCTTCTTTCACGAAGGTTGTAAATAAACTGAATTATGCAGTGTCAATGTTTTGACTTCACTTTTCTCTATAACTGTAGATGCACATGTTCTAATTTCTACTACTGCATATATGGCATCTGATCAAATTTGTAGGTAAGTGCATTTACCATTATGAAAAAAATGCAGTTCACGGGAACATTTATCAATTGACTTTTTACATAAATAAAATTGCATCTCTAAGGTAATTTACATATTTATTAATAGTTTTAATCCAGTTCTTCATAAGCAGGAATCAGCCTCACAAAACACACTACTACAATTGCTACTCTTGTTAACCATAGCAGAGATGCCAGGATCAAATGGGCATGGAGAGAGAATCTTCTAAAGTGATTTGTCCCACAAGGTTAGGGTTAAGTCATAAGGTAAGGGCAACATGAAGAAGGCAATTTCTATGCTATAGTTGTTCTGTGGATATATCGAGTACTTCAATCTCCAAGGCTATCTGCCAAACAAAAAATTTTTAACGGAAAAATGTAATTTAGGTATTAGTATGTAGTGGTTAGTATATCATCGTTTTATTTAAATTTCTCTCTCATATGATTAAGAGTACAATAAAAGTATATTAAATTTGAAATTACATCAAATTTTACATTCATCACACATTTAATGCTTCATAAAATGTACAAAAACTGTCCCTTTTATAAATCAACAAGCTACATGCTATACAGTTAATAACATCCTGTATCAGATGTTATTAACTATAAAGCATGTACCTTGTTGATGGCACTATGAAACATTATTCAATACAGAATGCTACTATTATGGGCTGTTTTACACCACAGCCATGCCAAAGATCACCAGTAAGCAAACAGTTTAGTCCTATGCTTTCACACCTCATTAGCTACATTTGACGTTTTGAGAAGGACTTTCACTTGGCTGGGCAATCCAAAATGACCTTTGAAATTCCAACAGTACCAAATGATACATGGTTGTTTTATGCTCTAAATGGTCATCCCAGAAGAAATTAATTGAAATCATCAAACCAGCTCTATTCAGAAACTGGACATGAGCCATATCCTAACAGGTGAAAGACTGATTTATTCATATATTCACCCACAACATAGTTTAAATTTTAAAAAAGCAAACAGGACACAATTACAATTTGACCAACACTGACTAGATCCCCACTAAGTGCCTTTTCTATTCTAACACTGCACACACTGCCTCTTTATATGTATCAATCACATCTACAAAAAACACTGTGCAGACATGTCTTAGTCTTATCACAATATTATTTTTCTGATATCTCAAAATGTGCTGTGCCCCTCACAAAACAAGTGAAGACATTGCACTCTCTTCAGGACAGAGGTAATCTAAATTTAACATGACACAATAAGTGGCAAATGGAAAAATGAGGTGGAAAGGGTGAGGAAAGACCAGGATGACAGTAATTTAAAACAGTTATTTACCTAATAATAACTGTGGTTCTTAGAGATGTTGTTGTCTGTGATATCCCAGGTTGGAGAAGGCTCTCTCACTGGTGGGAAGGTGTGCAGAAACCCAGTTAGAAGTTCAGAACCATGGTGTTGGGGAAAAAAGCTGAGCATGACTGTATGGGAGGGTGGTATGCCAAGACTTTTGCAAGGTGGACTTTGATGATACTGAATGAGAGTCCAGAGTTTATTAAATGCAGAATATAATCAAAGATTTTTGGTGGTTGGGTCTTCAATAGGTGCCCCAACTGGCATCTGATACATCTATGATCACTTTTTTTGTAGCAGCGAGGTGAGGAAGGACATTCTTAGGGTCTACCCACTTGTTCAGTGCTGATATGATGAGAGCTAGGACCACAACTCGCATCCTCATTTGATGCCTTGAAGGGTAAGATACTGACTTCAGCCAGCCTTGTAAGGAATGTCGGTTAAGTCTGACAAGTGGGATTGTGTCCAAGCAAGTTGATGTGTGGCCTAGAAGTTTGAGACAGTTTCTTACTGTAGTTGGATTTGATTTGATTATGGTGATCATCATCTAAGGAGAGAAAAATCTATCCTTGGGAAAATATGCCTTCCATGATTTGGCAGCAATTACAGCCCCTATAAAGTCTAAAATCTCTATTGTTCTTGTCTTCTACCCAAACTAAAAATCTCAGTCGGGCTCTCTGATATCTCCTCATGGATGTCTAGTCACCAGCTCAAGCTCAATGTAACTGAAACAAAGCTCTTGATCTTCTGCCCCAAACCCTCCTCCCCCACCTTCTTTTTCAACCACCATGGACATCATCACTTTGCCTGTCACTCACATCCATAACCTGGAAGTAGATGCCAAAGGGGCTTGAATGATAGGAATGAGACCATCTCCTGGATTTCCCAAAAGGAGGTCTCCAATGTTCTCAATAGTGCCGAAGTGGTATATTGGTAAAATTGGTTGAGGTGGGCTTGACCAGGCTATTGCCGTGTTAGAGATGGATGCACTGGAACTTTAAAATTACTCTGATCAGCAGAAGTATCCTGTGTGATGTGAGGGGAGAAAGCTCCTTACTGGATGGAGGAGAAAGGGTGTGTCCCAGATAAAGAATGGACATCATTGCGAGGTGGTGCCAACCTATGAGGTGACTTCAATCCTGAGGTCAGAAATATGCACCAGTGCGAAGAGTGGAAACCTTGGTGCTGACAGCAGTGACAGGGATGTGGTTAACTTCTCCAACCTAGAATCAGGAGGTACTGCTAGGGATTCCATTGATAGTATCGATGTCAATGTTGATACCAACAGTTGCTGGTTACTGGCATTTTCAGGCATGGGTGTTGAATATGTCTATATACGCTTCTTCGGTACCAAACCAGAAAACTAGCAGGCATCACTTTTCCCTATTTGGTGAGTGGACTTAGCACTTTGTTCCATGCAGTACAAAGGTTTAGCTCTCTCCTTATGGAAAGAAAGGAATCGTAAGCAATGATTTTTCCACAATGGTCAAACCCCCTTGCCAGGAGATGATGGTACCAGACTTTGGTGCCACGGTGGTAGCCAATACCAAGATGGTCTTCGATGCTGGGTCTTTGTCTGATGGTGTCAAGGATTTTCTATCAATAACGACCTTGGGAGGTGCATGCCAGTTGATGGGGCACAGGCTGACACAGACTCAGCAGAGTCAGATCTTCTAGGAATAGGATCTTCTCTCTTTGGTGTCTTCAGTTCCCCTCATGGATTGTTCAAGGAGTTATAGCTTTGAACAGGTGTTCCTGGGACTTCTTTTTCCCCACTGAGAATGACCAACAAACTGAGCAACAGTCTGGCACATGGCTCTCACCAAGGCAGAACCGACAGTGTGCATGGCCATCAGTGACTGTCCCTGGTAGAGGTCAATAAATTACAACTAAAATATACACATCCTCTCCCTTAATAATTAATAAATAACTATAGACTTTAAAAAATAGCAGCAAATCAATATTACAGGTTGAATTTATTTATTAATACCTGACATCAGTGAAATAAGTCTCTGTCTAGCCTCATTTGATGCCCTTGGAGTACGGATTCGGTCTATCCATTGGTATTCGGGGTCTTCATTAACAACCAGCTCTTCCACAAATCCATGAATTACTACAGCTCTATAACACTTTGGAATAGATGTGGCTGTTGAAAAGATATATAAATATGTAATATACAAGTCTAGAAGTGAAGTATTTAAATAGGAATTTAAAAAAAATACGCCTAGATAGCCATCTTCATATCCATATCAGATTCTCTTCACAACAGATTTTAGGGCATACCTGAAGAGTTTTACTAAGGATCTTACTGGTGCCTGCTGGAATTACTGCCTGAAGTTGTACCCTTGTTTCTACATATACACTCATAAGGCTCTTTCAATAGTACACCTATGAATATGCACACAAAGTAACATTACATGCACATATTCACAAATAGGCTTTGCTGCGAATGTGTGTATCTTAAGTAACCAGAAAAAAATATTAGATGAATAAATTAATTTGAGATACTTTAAAGGAGTTGCTTAAAAAAAGAAATGGTCTGCTGCAGATGTTCTTATATAACCAAACAGTAATGCAATTCCAGATTCAAATTAGACTTTTTGTTTTGCCACTGGCTTTAGTGTGATCTGGACTTGGCCTTGAAGGAGAGCTGAGGAATGGGGAAAGGGAACAGAAACTAGAAGGATAGAAAAGCAGCCTTGAAAAGAATGACACACACCTGCAGCTGCTCAAAACTCTATTTTTCACTAGTTTTGGCATACCACAGACTTGTACCCAGGACTATCTGGGCCTCAAAATGTGTCTTGGGATTTCACTGGACTATTAGGCCCCAAATCAGTAAAACATTTAAGCCTGTGCTTAACTCACATTGACTTAAGCTCTGCTGAATTGGGGCTTTATACAATAGACCAAATAAGGGCCCTGATCCAAAGATCATTGCAGATAATGCGTTTTCCACTCTCTCTTGATTTCAACAGACTTTGGATCAAGCCATAAATCAGTTTGTTCATACATAAATGACCTGGTACTTGGCTAGTCAAAATGTGCTGTGAAAAGAAACATTTTAACAATTATGGAGATAAGAGGAGGAGGATGAAAACTACATATTTTCACAGCTTCACTGCAAATACAGCATGATTTGTGTCACTACTGTGAATAAACATTTTATTGAAGAAAAATAACATTTTTTTCCTGACTGATGGAAGGAAAAAAAATGCACTTTGCATTTCCTCTCAAGAAATGTTACCCACAAAGAAGATACAAATAACAGAGCACAAGACTCAATTAACAATGATGAATCCATACTATTATCTAGAAGAGACACTTATTTTAATTTGGGAATATTTAATTTCTCAGCTGTCCAGTATTTTATATTCAGAAATTAAAAAACCCAAAACATTGCCACACAAGAGAACAATTTATTTACTCACTGCAAAAAAACTTGACTCCACAGGATGACTGCCTAAAACGGTTTAAATCATTGAAGAGGTCTACTTTCACTACCACATTGATCTCCCCACGGATACCTGTCCATAAAAAAGAGGTGGAAGGTGAAATTTAGATCAGAAAGAAGAAATAGAAAGAATAAAATCTTCTCAACTATTTAATTTATTTGACATTTTAATTATTAGTTTTAAAGTTAGGTATACTCCATAATGAATCAAAATATCAATATATATTTTCTCCAAAGAACTTGAAGCTAAATATTTCTGTTACAATGTTTTCAAACCCCATATTAGAATTTTCCTCTCAAAAATGGTCTCAAGACCATAATAGAATTACTCTCCGCAGTCCATTCTAGTCAAGGTACCCAGTAGTCATTTCAGAATTTTAATACCTACTCACAATGGTGTATTGAAAATTAATGTTTTTGCAACACTTGAACGTGAAAAGAACTACACAATCAAGAGGTATTATTTTGACAATTCGTTTTTCAAACAAAGATTAATTTTTTAGCCAGAATTTAAACTTTTTAATAAACCTACATTTCTTCAGTGAACAATCATCAGCTTTGATTTCTTTTCTCTTCTTACCTACAGTGCCTACTTCACAATCTTGACCTGTTCCTCATTCTTATTAATTTTTTTCTTGACTAACAAAATCATTTTGCGCAATACCACTTCACATCACTATAGCTTTTCATGTTGAAGATATCACAGTACAAAAAAAGTGAACAAAAACACTAGATGTAAATGACTGAATGGGACCTTCTTGATATTGGGCCTCCTGACCCAATTCTCTCAGAAGTCACTGTGTCTACACTGGTACAGACAGAACGCCCATCACAATAGCATCTTCATATATTTTTCTTCACATATTCACAATGACCACAAATCCAGACATCTATCTGAACTCCATTAAATTTTCACTGTTATAATCTAACTCAGCCTTTTGCTTATTTTCCAATATAAAGTCAGTGATATACTGTGTATCACTTTTACATGAGTAATCTCCAAAGCCAGTTCTTTTCAAATAACCAATTTTTGGTGGAAAACAATAATTAGCTGTAAATTGACAATCATGTAAAACTTTTTAATGTAGTATAAAAAAAAAAAGGACATTATACAAAAAACTCTACAGTCTATGCTTACATTCTGTTCCTGGAGTGGAATCCTGGCTTCACTGAAATCAATGGCAAAATTCCTATTAACTTCCATTTCACCCCAATTCTAAAATATTTTGAACAGATGCATGTAGGACTAGAAAGATACTTTTTGTAGGGAAAGGGGAATTTCATCCTATGCTTTCTGTGGAAAATTTGTCACTTCCTCTCCCTTCATCCCAAATAAAGCTTGGCCAAACATACCAGAAGGAACACACAACAGATAGCCTTCTTAAAAATACACATTTTCAGCAACAGCCTGGTAATTGCACAGTTTTTTTGTTGTTGTTTTTGTTTTGTTTTTTAAGCATTAACTACCTTAGTGGTGACCATTTAAATCATTTTCTGTCAATTTTTTCACTTTTCTGAAATTTCATGAAGGACATTCTGCCAGATGCTATCTTCCAATAATAAATTCCTGTGACATAATTTGAGACATCTCAACTGTACTATATAATTGTTATTGCAATAAAAAAAGAAAAGTATCCTACAATGTAATTTGTCATTGGTTTTAAATCACATATTTACTTACCAGACTGTAAAGACTACACAGGAGCTGTGTTTCAAATTATGTCAAAAGGAGCAGCACTTCAGACAGCAATGCTAGGGTATTACAAACTTGCTGAAGACATCCTTAAAAAGAAGATATTCCACCTTTCAAAGAAACTACGTCTAAAACAATTTTCTTTTTAAAAAAGTCAATAAGGCTTACCATGTATGGTATCATAAATTGGAAACCATCCAGAGATAACTGTAGCTGCCTCACTATAGAGCAAAGGATCAATATCAATGTACACTTTGCCAATGGCATCATTAGCACTGTAGGTGTCATGATCAAGAACCGTGATCTGCAGGGGCTCATCTTGTAGGTCTTCATCATCTACCTAGAAATACATAAAACTTCAGTATTTAATCAATACAAGGAAACTTTGCAGGAAAACAACTGAGGAAAATAAAAGAATGAGAGTGTAGTTATATATAATAATATGTTTATACATAAAATTTTTAACTATTGTGTCTTGTATACAAACAATACACTAATGGATTCTTCTCTCCCCAAAGTGACCACATTACTAAAGGACATCAGAGCCACAGGCAGGCAAGGCATGAATCACGCACACTTTTAAAACGATCATTTAATCATTTTTATTCATAGTCTCAACACACACTCCCTTTACCCCAAAAAATTATTTTTGACAGGAAGCATCAAAAACGTAAATAAGAACTCTCACACCTTCAACTACAACAGCTGTACTACACACCATGATAAAGATAAAAATGTGTACTGATGTTCTGATTTTACATAGCATTTTTGCGTTTTTGAACTGGTTAGTGGTTGGTAAGTAAGTAAAGGATGGCTTTCTATGCATCCTACAGAAAAACTCAGTAAACTGGACATAAAACTCTACTAATGTCTAAAGTAGTTATTGTTATTCCACTCTTTGAAATGCGGAATTCTGCTATCATTTTTTCAATGCTGTTCTTTTGCATTTCTCCCCCAAACACACTTTCCCATGCAAAAAAAGACAGAATTTAGACACTTCTGTTATACAGAATAAATTTTCACTCCACAAAGCTTAGACAATTCTTCTTCCTCACACCCCCAAAGTAGCAAATCCCCAAAATCAAAGTACAGTAACTCCTCACTTAACACTGTAGTTATGTTCCTGAAAAATGCGACTTTAAGCGAAAAGATGTTAAGCGAATCCAATTTCCCCATAAGAATTAATGTAAATGAGGGGGTTTTTTTCACCAGAAAAAAGACTATACACACACACACACAGCATAAGTTTTAAACAAACAATTTAATACTGTCAAGTATCAGAGAGGTAGCCGTGTTAGTCTGGATCTGTAAAAAGCAACAAAGAGTCCTGCGGCACCTTATGGACTAACAAATGTATTGGAGCATAAGCTTTCGTGGGTGAATACCCACTTCGTCAGATGCATCAATTTAATACGGGTACACAGTGATGATGATTGTGAAGCTTGGTTGCGGTGGAGGAGTCAGAGGGTGCAATATTTCCCTTACTGCTAAATGATGAACTAGCAACTGGCTGAGCCCTCAAGGGTTAACGCTCTCACTCCACACGGCAGCAGGAATGGAGGGAGATATGCACATTTCCCCTTTAAGTACACTGCCTTGTTAATTGGATCAGCTTGCTGAGACTGCAGCGGCTGCAAGCTCCCTCTGTCCTGAGCCCTGGTGTGTCCCCCCTGCTCTATGGAAGATGGGGTAAGCGGGGTGCAGGAGCAGGGTGGAGGGGGACACCCTGACATTAGCCCCCCCTCTTCCTTCCCTCCCCTCCGCATAGCAAGCAGGAGTCTGGGGGAGCAGCTCTAGGGTTACCATATTTTGTGCCTCCAAAAGGAGGACACTCCACGGGGCCCCGG